CCTTAAAAAGAATTCAGATTATTTTGTATAGTATTTTTAAAGTCAACTTCAATCATTATTTGAAATATATTACTAAAACCATTAAAAGTATCATTGCCTCTTTTGCTTTGCATCATATAGGATATCTGATTCAACTTTCTTTAAACTTTTACCCCATTTCTAAATGCATGTTGAATTCCAAAATTGTATTTCTGAGCTTGGCTTATAGGATCTTCAAAGTTTATGTATGAATGACTGCTAATTGTTTTCTCTTGACTCAAATCAACATTTTCTTTGATCTCATTTGTGTCTAGTATTACTTAAGTAAATGGCTTGACCATCCCTCCAATGGTATAAGCCAAATACTGTAAGCTAAATAGTTAGAAACCCTTTTTTATTCACCCATCCTCAATATTGAATACATCACCAAGACCTAATTAATTTTAACTTCCAGACATTTCCCAAATATGCAACCACTGTCATGAATCTTCAGGACATAGCACCATCCTTTATGTTTCTTTTTATAACTGTGGCATTTTTTTAAAAAAACATTTTTTTCTTTATCGATTTTAGAGACAGAGAAAGGGAGAGGGAGAGAGAGGCAGAAAGAACATTGATTGGCTACCTCCTGCCTGCCCTATCCCCCACTGGGGATTTGGCCCACAACCTGGACATGTGCCTTGACCAGGAATTGAACTGGTGACCTCTTGGTTCATGGGTCAACACTCAACCAGGAGCCACACCAGATGGGCTACACCTGTGGCTTTTTAAATACTTCTTCATTCTTTTAATATGTGATCTACAAATTATTCACCTTGAGTTTGACATCTCTTTTCCTGCAACTACTATGATTAATGCAATAATAATATTTACCTCATAAAATGTTTATAAAGTATAAATGCATCAATATGTATAGAATATTGACAATAGTGCTTATGGTATAAAAAACTCTCAATAAATAATAGCCATATTACCAAATATTTTAATTGTAGGTATATATTTACATATTAGCATTTTAAGCCTATGAGTCTCCAAAAATATTAAAACATCATTAGGCTACTTTTGAAATAAAACTGCTTTATATTAATATTCATGAAAGCATATAGGTAGATATATCAATAGATAAATAGGTAGATAGATAGAAACTAGCTAGATAGATGATAGATAGATACATAGATAGATGATAGATGATGATAGATGATAGATAGATAGATAGATAGATAGATAGATAGATGAGAGAGAGAGAGAGAGAGAGAGAGAGAGAGAGAGAGAGATACATGCACACATGTAAAACAGACCCTCTGACTATCCTGACCACAGCCCCTCCTGTTGGAGGAGGTCATTGAAAAGACATAACCAGCAGTTGACCCTTGAGCTGCACCTGGGAAATCAGGGTCTTCCCATCCACCCCTCTGCCCTTTGAATGTATATTCTGCCCACCATTACACAGTAGGAGTTACTTCAAGAACCTAGCCTTGAGAAAGTAAGGTATTGTTGAGACAATCTGGTTGGTATACGTGACTAAGTCCTATTAATGTTACCTCTCATTTTGTTCCTAGTCTCCTTTCTCCCTATCAGGTTTAGCATGTGCCTAGACAAGTTATGCTGGAATTGGCTCTAGTTTGGGTGGGTGCAGTTTCTGAGGGAGGCAACAGTTTCCTAGTGTTAGAGAGACCTCTTCAGGTCAGTGTCTTGTTAAGGCTTACAAGGAAATAATGGGGGTACTTATGCAAGCTCTGAGGGTCCAAGAGAGTCAGCAGTATCCTCAGGGGTTCCATACAAATATCTCCATCCCCAGAGTTAAGGCCCCTTGTTTTCCCAACCAAGGCCCTGACTTGAAAATAGCAGATCTGCGTTAGATGAGCATTAAAATGCATTTGGACATATGTGATTCGACCAGATTTTCCGTCTGTATTAGCAGTGGCTGGTATGGCTCAGTTCGTTGAGCAACATCCCATGCACCAAAAGGTCACCGGTTAGATTCTGGTTCAGGGCATATGCCCAGGTTGCAGACTCAATCCCCAGTAGGGGGCGTGCAAGAGTCAGCCAATCAATGTTTCTCTCTCCCTCTCCCTTTTTTTTTCTCTGAAATCAATAAAAACATATCTAAATAAAATGCCCGAATCATTGCAACTGCAAGGGTACAGCCTTTCACCATCTCCTTAGGTAGCACAAGAGGAATCTTCAGCAGCTGGGACAAGAGCCTGCGTCATGTTCTGTTGGTGTCCCTCATACCATTCAGGATTGTGTCTTCTTTTCCTTCTAAGCAATGAATGACTGAGTCCAAACTCTTCTTCTTGCCATGTGTTTTCTCAAATATCTTAGCACCATTTGCATTACTTTGGGCCCACCAAGTGGTAGATACTAATGTAGAATTAGACATTCAAGTTATTTAATGTACGAGGGAGTACGAAGGGTAGAGTGCTGATGCCATTACACTGGTCTGATGCCTGCTACAGGGACAAAGGAGGGAAGGAGTGTTGGGGAGAAACATTCTTGGAAGCAGCATGGTTCCCACAAATGCTTGTCTAAACTAAACAGGAGTCATTGAGCCACAGTCTCCTGTTGAAAAACTCCTGTATTTCTCTGTTTTATCTGCTTAAAGATCTTTGCTGTGCTCAGTCACTAGCTCGGAGGAGCCTGAAGGAAGCCTGGTCCCAGTAAGAATGCAATGGTGGGTAAAGGTGCTGCAGTTGGAGCTGTGGGTAAAGTCCCACCGATCCAAGTGGCACATTTCCACAGCTGTCACATACGTGCCTCCACATTTTGTATTCAATTTTATGAACTCCCCATGTGTCCCTATTGGAGGGTATTAAGGGACCTGTGTATTGAAACTGAGGCAGGACCTTGGCAGTGAGGACTACAGGTCTGAAGTAAACGAAAACATGCAGGGACACACAGTGGGGTGAGTTTAGGAAGGAGAGGCAAGCATTTGCCTCAAACATATATCTCCTCCATTGCAATATTTTCTAGAATCCACCCTGCCTATATTTGAAAGTCATACACCTGTTTAAAATGTTACTCAAAGGAGCAATTTGTCTCCCTGAAATATTTTATGTGAATATTGGGAGAGAAAGACAACACTCGGTATGAAAAAGTCTTTGAATTCAATCTCAATGTGAAAGAGAATGAGGTCTGCGTTCTTCCCCATGGAGCCCTCAGCCTTTGTTACTTGCCTTTTGATTGTTTTATTTTACTCTTCCAGTGTCTGCCATCTATTTTAACTCTCATTTTTGCTTCTTTTTTTTCCTTTGCCTTTTCATTTATCCCCTGAAAATCTTTCTATTTTCTATATTTATTTGGTATATTAGCAAGAACTGTGAAATATACTAATACCAGCAAGAAGCTTAAGATTCAGGTACTTAGCAATTTGTCCTGATGTTGATAAAAATGCTAAGCTGTTACTGAGTAATGACCTTTGGGATTGTGTCTATGTTCACATCTTTAGTGTGTAAGTGGTTCTTGAGATCCATTTTTTGAGATTGGTTTTTATAGCCTACATAGAAAAAGAGCCTAGCACCAGAGGTTGCCTAAGGCAAACATTTATTTTTTTTCTAATTGTGTTGAGAAGTGAAAGTTACTTTGTTGAGGATAATTTCTGACTTGCAACCAAAATAAATTGTGGGTCTTATCTCTAGAGTTAAGAGAAACACATTAGTAAGATCAACATTCTTACACATACAAAATTATATTTCAATTGAGGGTGAAATTGTATATCTCCACAGAGAACAGAAAATTTTAGTGTGTGAATTTTAAAATAAACTTTTTCTCTACTGGAAAAATAGAGTGCATTTCACTGGTAGGATAAAAAAAAAAAAAACAATAGCAAAAAAAAAAAAAACACAAACAAAAAAACTTAGTTATAATACGTAGCATGCCAGAGGCAGTAGTTTGGATTACAGAATCATAGCAGGTGAGAGCCAGCAGCTATATTGTAATCTACCTTTCCCTGCAAGTAAACTCATTCTGATACTGGATGTACAAGTGGACTGGGCTGGGCTCCAGCTGGTAGATTCTGTCCAAAGGTGTAGGTGAGAAGAGGGCTGATGAAAGGTTTATCTTGCATAAAGATAACCTAAGGTGCAGAGAACCTAAGATACAGAAAACACTACTGAACACAGCAAGGACACCTCTGGCCTCAGTAGGGAGGGATTTAAATGAAAACAGGAAAAATGATGGAGCAGGATTGGTAATGAGAGTGAGTCTGAATCTTTGTGGCCCGAAGTATAACTGAACAAAAAGTTTACGAGAGGTGTGCTTTGTAGTTCAGCAAATAGGAAGCCTGAGATGTTTCCGGAAGGAGGGTGAAGAGAGAGGCATGCATATAAAAGAATGTATCTCTGAGCTAAAAACCTCTTTTCTCTGTTTTCTGTGACAGCTAAACCTTAGCTGTGCTTTTGTCTTACACATTTCCCTCCTTCGAAGAAAGCAGCAGTGATGCTTGCTATGGGCTCCTTTCTAGGCCCTTCTTAAACTAGGATGATACCCCCTAAGCAACCTGCTTAGTGTGGTTGCCAGAACAGCTGGAAGAATGCAGAATGTGACTCCATTGCTACTGCTGGTATTTTTGTCTTTAGTTCATGTAAGGGCTCTAAGTAGATTTCTTCTTGAATTTTTTCTACTTTCTGTGCCAAACAGTCTTTCAGATATAGCAACGAAATCATTGGTTCATTCTACTTATTCTGGTCTGATTATGTAAAAATTAACATCGCCAGAATACTCCTAATTCTTTCCTCCCATCAGACCTGTTTTTCCCCTAATCTTTCCTGTCTGTGGAAATGGTACCATCACATGGCCCCCTGATCAAGCCTTTATTTCCTATTCCCATATATATTGTTATCAGAAAGTCCTGTGGCTCTAATGCCAAAATAAAAGTTTAAATTTTTACTTCACTACTATATTTCTATTTCTACCATCATCTCTCATTTGTACTGCAGAAGCAGCATCCTAGCTTATCTTTGAACTTCTGGTCTTTCCCGTCCTCTACATGTTCTCCAGCTACCTATACAATGCTGATCAGTATGCATACCTGGCAGGGGAGATACCGTGACCATGATGGTGGTTCTCCCAGGGAGAGACTTACACATTGCACTCTGGCTGTGCTGACCCTGTGATTTCCCCCAAATATGGAAAACTCGACTGCATCATTTGTCGTAGTGGGGGACTGCATTCGTGCTTTCCCCTATAAAAAATAAAATAAAATACTGATCAAGTCACATCCTTCATATTTAAATACTTATAATTGTCTCCCATTGTTCTTAGAATTACAAACTCTTGATTAGGGTCAGCATGAGCCTGCCTGACACGTCGTTTGTCTCCAACCTTCTTCTATTTCTTCTTCACCACGATTCTGCATCTCTAACCTTTCAGCTCTTCCTGTTAAATTCTCAGATTATCAATTATTTGGGAACCATTGAACATGTCCTTGGCCTGGAATGCTTTTGGCTCAGAACTTCTAAAGGCTCATTCCTCCTCAGAGGGTAGCATTCTCCTCATATATCACTCAGAAAGTCCTTCCTTCACAACCTCAACTAGAATAAGTCCCACCTAATTCATTCACTGCATATCCTCTTTTTTTTCATGCTTTATACTCTTGATACATAATATTATCTGAAATACTACAAATTCATTTACTCCTGAGTTTATCATGTATATGCCCATATTGAAACTAATCTGCTGAGGTTATCATGTTGTTTTCTCTTATATCATTTAGGGTCTCGACACATTCAAAATGGGCAATTGAAAGAGAGTTTGAGTTAAGAGAAATCACAGATGATAGTGAAATATACCAGGACTAGACATGGCTGGAGCATTCAGCACCCCTCAGGTTGGAGGCACAGAGGGTGGAGTAGAAATATTAATCATTATAGAAATAGTGGGCATTCAGAGCAGGCCACTTCTGAGGACCTGTGGCTTTGAGTCAATAGACTCAGCAACCCAGCTGACTCTTGCATTGAAGACAACAGTAAACACTTCAGCTTTATGTCTTTATATATTTCCTTTAAATCTCAGAATAGACCTTAAACACCTAGTTGTTTATTTTAAAAAGAAAAGCATCTCTTGCTACCTGAATGTGTTTGCATTGAGCAGTCATTTCCCCTGGAACAGCTTGTGCCAGAATAACAAACTCTTTCATTTTGCCAAATCTAGTGGTTGCTTCTCTGTTCTCATCCTCAGCCTCTCAGCAGCGTTTGTTATAGGACAAGAGTGGGAGCATGGAGCCCTGGGAGAAATGCACTGAAATAGTCAACAGTTGATAGTCTCCTCGGTCAACCGTGCTGGGAAAACCAGACAGCCAAGTGCAAAATAATGAAACCACGTAGCTGTCATACACCGTATACAAAACTCAACTCAAAAGGGATTAAAGAACAATGGGTTGATAGCCAAAATATATAAAGAAATCATACAACTCAGTTGCAAAATAAAAAAAAAAATCTGAAAATGCACAATGAAATAATACCTCATACTGGTTTTAATGGCTATTATCAAAAAAGACAAGATGGTAAGAATGTGAAAAAAAGGGAAACCTCGTGCAGTATTTGTGGAAATGCAAACAGCCACTATGGAGAACAGGTCCTCAGAAATTTAAAAATAGAACTACCTCTTGGTAATGGCCAGAGGGAGTGGTGTGGGGGCTGGGTAGAGGTGGGTGAAAGGGGGAAATGGAGGGCATCTATAATAGTGTGAACAAAAAATTAAATAAATAAATAAATATAGAACTGCCATATTTTGCAGTAGTTTCACTTCTAGGTACTCATCTGAAGGAAGTAAAAACGCTGACTTGAAAATATATCTCCTCCTTTATGTTTGTTGCAGTATTATCTTACAATATCCAAGACATGGAAGCAACCTATGTCCATTGACAGATGAATGTATAAATATATATACATTCTGGCTATGATTTCAGGTACTATATTGAACAAAAATGATGATAACGAGCACCTTTGTCTTGTTCCTGATCTTAGGGGTGAGGCTTTTAACTTGTTACTGTTAATTATGATGTTGCCTATAGGTTTGACTTATGTGGTTTTTATTATTTTGAGTACATTTCTTCTGTACCTAATTTGTGAAAGTTTTTCTCATGAAAAAAACATGTATTTTGTCAAATGCTTTTTCTGCTTTTATTGAGATGATCATATTTTTTATTCTTTTTTTTTGTTAGTGTCGTGTATCACATTTGTTGATTTGCATATATTAAATTGTCATCAATAAAGACTGAGGCTCAATAGCCCCAACTACCTATAATGATTTATCTCAGGAGATACATATAATTTTATAATGCGATTTAAAGTTAAGGAAACCAATTAAATTGACTTTATAAAGAATACCATTTATTTTGGAGGAAAATATCTTAGAAAACCCTCGCATATTTGTCTCCTTAATGTTGTGTATATCTGCTCTAGCCAATGATTTATTTATTTTTAAGTTTAATTCAATTAGGCATTCTTATTTCTAAGTTATTTGTGGTGACTTTTTCTACACTCTTCCTACAGTATATACTAAAAAAACTGTTTTAGCACTGCTAATCTCTCCTATATCTCTAAAAGATAGTTGCTATTTCACTTAAGAACATTAATTTTTATCATGTTTAGGAATAGTATTGTGCAGCATAATTTGAAACTCAGCCTAGTGTAAAATGTTGATAAAGTGCTTGAGTTTTGAAAGTAAATAAATCTAAGGATAGAAGTTAAACTTGGATTTTTTTTTTTAACTTTTTCTCTTTATTGATTTTTAGAGAGAGAGGAAGGGAGAGGGAGAGATAGAAACATCAATGAGAGAGAACATGGACTGGGCGCCTCCTGCACCACCCCCCTGGGGATTGGGCACAACCTGGTCATGTGTCCTCACCAGGAATCAAACCGGCAACCTATTGGTGCCTGGGTCGACGCTCAACCACTGAGCCACACCAGCCAGGCAAACTTGGATTTTTTAATGTAAACAGTTATTTTCTTATTCTCAGTTTCTTCATTTGATAAAAATAAAAGTACCTTAAATACATTAATTTAAATTAAGAGTTTATTTTTTAAATTATTAGTTTGAATAAAAGCCTGTAATGACTCAGATAATGATACTATTGTTATTAATGAAAAATAATTAATCATCTATTTTATTGCTTTAGACTAATTAAATTATGTTTGAAATATTTAAATATACACAATCTAAGTGTGTTATGATAATTGATGTCAGAGCTAAGTATAAATCAATTTGAGATGTTTAAGAATCACTAAGGAATTATACATCCAATTAAATAATAGTTTAAAGACTTTAGCTTATCTAACCCACTTGGTTAAAATTTAAATTTTTCTGTCTAGTTTAATTAAATATACTTACTCCACATACTTAAGTGATTCTTGCATGTAAGCTATTGTTTCCTATTAATTTTAATCCATTCTTCTTTGGCCATGTGTCTCTTATCAATAGAGGCAGAGATTCAGCTTTTCTCATTCTGGTTGCTTTGTAACTATTAATGTAGAAAGATATGAGCCATTCCACTCCTTTTTAAGTCACTTCCAATAAGTTAAGTGATCACTACTTTAATTAAACCCCACAATAACTATAACCAACATCTCAAAATTTAATGTTTAATCATTCAATACTTATTTCATGTAAGATAGTTTTATCTCTCCTTATGCAGATGTACATTTCTTTAGTTCTCACAATGTCATCTACTTCTGCCAGAGTGTCTAATACATTGTTATTTATATCATTATTATTGTATATGTGATTTGAAAAGGAATACATTAAATATATTATAATTTTTACGTCTTGATTTCTAGTTTTACAGAATTAGAAGTAAAAAATCTTCACCATTAAAGTCACATAAATATATTATCAAATTGTTATTTTTACTAAAATCAAAGTGTGGAGTGTAACTTATAAAGCAGGGCTTCCCCACTGGGAGACGAAGGAGTGAGATAGCACTTTCCAATAGAGGGATATTTTACACTAAGTTCCTAGAGAACAAAGTCTGCGGCAAACGCTTGTGAGCTAACTGTTTATTAGAAATGCAATTCCTGGGAATCGATAGTCAAAGCAAGAAGGAAGTGAGGCATCAATATAGAAAACAACTGAATACAGGAGAGCTACAGAGCCCACCACAGGTTTGCAATACATACAGTTGGGGGCTGTGCCATGTGGGAAGTCTCTAGAGATGTCAATAGGACACTAATCCATCCTGGAATAGTCCTGGTGGCAGACAGGACACACAAGCATCTGATGTCTCCTTCTTGACTTGTGTCTTTAATTGGTCAAAATATCCCAACAAGGCAATAATGACACTCCCACATTTTTAGTTGTGTTGCCTGGCTTTCTGAGTACCACTGGGAAGCCATAGTTCCAGCAGTTGTAATGTTGCCATCCTATACAAGGTTAGTAGTCTTTATCTGTAAGGCTTTATGAATGTGGAACTTGTTAAATATGTGCAGAAGGTGGCCTGGGCTTTATAAAGAGGGAGCAGTTTCTGTGAGAGTATACTCCATCAGTAAGGTAAACCTGAGGAATCAGAAAGTGACTAAGGCATGGGGGGGGGGTGAATCTGAGCTAATCCTGGAGGTACAAATTTAGGTTCCAATACATCAAATATGTTTATTATGTACTTTGAAATGATTTTACAGTATAACTGTTTTCTAAATAAATGCTAATGAAAGTCATATTCAATTAAATCCTATCTGAAAACAATATTGAAAATGAGAAAAAAAAATGAAATGGGGAAATTTCCATACGAAACTATCTGATTTAATTGATATAAGTATTGTATGTATAATAATTTCCTAGATTTAGAAATTTAAAAGATATTTACAATAGCTAAGCTCTAGAAACAGCCCAAGTGCCCATCAGTAGATGAATGGATAAAAAAGCTGTGGTACATCTACACAATGGAATACTATGCAGCTTTAAGAAAAAGTTACCTCTTACCCTTTGAGACGACATGGAAGGACCTGGAGAGTATTATGCCAAGAAAAATAAGCCAGTCTGAGAAAGACAAGTACCACATGATTTCATGTATTTATGGAATATCATGAACAAAATAAGCTGTCGATCAAAATAAATCCAGAGACATGGTAGGGAGCAGACTGACAAACCTCAGAGGGAAGGGGTATTGGGAAGAGATAAACCAAAGAATGTATATGCATATAGGCACAACCAATGGACATAAACAATAGTTTATGAAAAGCAGAAGGGGGG